AAGGTGATGTTCAAAATCATTAAAGGCTATCCAGATATAGTAATCCTCACTTGAAAAAGCAAAAAGAAAGGATTGACAACAATCCCTGAAAAGAAAAGAGAAATATATAGGATTGAAAGCAATCCAAATGAAAAGAGAAAAGAAAAGAAAGAAAATATAAAAGTGAGGAGAAGTTTGAGGAGATGCCTCATCAAAAATTGGCTTCACTGGACCTACCTACAGGGAAAGGGGATTTTGAGAGAATTTGTAAGGAGATGTTCTAGCATTGCATGGATCGGCGAAAGACTTTGTGGGAGAGATTTTATTCTTTCTATCAAGAGAAAAAACTAAGTATTGTGTTCTTCATTATCTTATGATTTTGTAAACACTTATCTAGTGGATTTGCTTTGGTTAAATAAAGTTTCCATTGTGTTTTCTTCGTGCTTTGTGATGGGCTTCTCTTACTCTTTCTTCTTCTTTGGAAATAATGGCATGAGAAGGTTATGTCATTGTTTTCATTTTACTTTTCTTTTATAATGCGTAGAGTTCATGTTTAGGATTTTGTGATGCATGTTAGAAGCGGATTTAATTATAAATGTGATGGTTTTTACTTGCACTTTATTTAAATTACAATAAGGGCCTGTTGTAGTGTTAAAATTCGTTGTAATTGCATTAAGACCCGAGAGGGCTATGTAATTCTCAACAAAGTAGAACCACATTCAGATTTCATGGATGGTTACGTTCATGGGAGTTGAATGCAAATAAATAAGAAAACAAGCGGAGATGTTAGCCTTCAGGTGAGAGGAACGTGGGAGCTCCGAAGTGAGAGCCGGTATCCTCCCAGCCTAGCCCAGAATCAGGAACCCAGCATAGGTATCCTCCCAGCCTAGCCACGAATTCAGTAAACAAGCATAGAATTAGTCAATGTTCTTTATGCCTGGACTAAAGGGTAAAGAATAGAATTGCTCCTATTTGGCACATACAATATACAATATTTAATGCATCTCATTCTTTTACATTATCTAATTCATTACATAAGAATAGTAGTTTGTAATATCTCAAAATTCTTCAAACCAATTCATCCAAAAAGGGTTATCTTTAGAATTAATATTTGCATTTAGTTATAGTTAATATCTTTACATTTAACACTTGCATTTAGGAGTAGTTGCTAGATAAAACATTATTTTAATTGACATTCCAAACTAAGGACTAATTGTAGTAGATTAGAATTTGACTAAGGACATCTTACCTCGCTTCCCTGTGGGATCGATAAACGGGACTCCACTAGAGCTCTATATTACTTGAGTGATACGTATACTTGTGTTTGAAATTGTGACTTTACAAAATCATTATAAGTATATAAATCTGGGTTCATAAATTTAAGCATATATAAAGTCACTGTCATTAACTATCCTAATGAAGCAATCTATGTCCACCGACCATAAAAATTTTCCCAATTTCATCACGAATCGCCAATACAAGCCCTGCTTAGCCATTCGACAGGACAACCACATCAATATGAGGGGGGGGGGGGGGTTTGGGGGGGGGGGTTTTGGGGGGCGTAGTTCAAGAAGCGGGGAGGTATCCCATTGCTCGTGATGTGAAAGGAGTTCAACTAAGTAAAGTCAGAGAGAATACACGTTGTCATAATCATCGACGTAGCATTCAACCAATTACGTTTCTGAGAATTACATGCTCGCCAACTTTGAAAGACCGCATAACAATGGATTTGACCAATAGGCACTCCAAAGCATGGGAGTTGTTGTATTTAATCAATAGCTTCCTCAAGAGATTCAAAAATCAGTATAGCATTTGCCAATTATTAAGACAACAAGTCTTAAGGCATGAGTCTAGTCTTCTATAGCTCCGCAGCCCTAGAGGCAAGATATGTCAACTCTAATGTGTCTTCTACCCAACCATTCATTTTTTGGAACCACATTATTAACCATCCTCCACCAGAACATGACTTTTTTGGAACCATATGTCAACTCCACTAGAACACAAGTCTAATCTTCAATAGCTTCACAACCCCAAAGGTAGAACATGACAACTCCAATGTGTCTCCTACCCAACAATTCATTTTTTGGAACCACATTATTAAGCATCCTCCTCCAGAATATGTCTTCTTCTGGATGAAGCTTAAGCTTGTCCAACCAATTGCTACACACTTTTTGCTGATCGAAAACCTTTCATATTCCAACGCAGTGATTGTGCGAGAGCCACAACTCTTGGATTGTAATTAACTAGAAGGGCTTTCCCTCATAGGGACAGTAGACCCCTTGATAAAATAAACTCTATATTACACCTGTAAGGGGGGAGGAAAACTTATGGTTAACGCAGACCCATAAACCTTATTGATTTTAGTCATCTAAATGATTATATCCATTTTAAGGTAGTGTTTTCGTGATAGTTTATTATTCTTCAAATGATATTTCTGATCATTTAGATAGAAATCTTTTAAGATCTATGGTAAATATATAACTAGAAAAATTATCCCGCCATAACACTGATTGTTAGAAAGACTTGTGGTGAAACATTATTTTAAAGAGAGCACTTGGCGTTGATGAATAATCACAATAGTAGAGATGATGCTTGAAAAACATATGCATGAGCAGCTTTTATTATAAATTATGGTTCATAATTTTATCGTAAGGAATTTTTTTATCAAAAAGATTGGTTTATATTTTTTTTCAAATAAAAAGCTGTGGTTATATTTATCCAATTATGTGTATTATAAGGCATAAAAATTTAAATTTCACATAGGAAGTAAATTTAATTTTTTTATAAAAAAAATTAAAAATAAGAAAAAGTCTTTTTAATCAATTTGTGCATAGCTAATTTAGGAAAGCGTCCCTTACCTTGAACTAAAATACCCACCTAGCTTAGTAGCCAAGTTAAAATTCTTATTTTTATTATTGATCTCAAACTCCTTATTTTGTTTATCAGGTAGGATTCGAAACAGACAAATTTCGAAGCTTGTCAGCGAATTAATAAACAGTAAAAAAAACAATTTGTCCAAATCAAATATTATCCGTGCTCCAGCTTAATATTCCACCTGTATGCAGGGAGAAAAAATCATCTGCACGTGGCATGTCAAATTGCCGCGGCAGCGGCTGTCCTGTTCCCCAAATCAATAGATTACACTATGTGCTTCCTAGCGTCAGTCTCCATCATCCTTCTCAAGTCTCGTCGGCTACATTAAGATGCATCGCACTTGACAAGGATGCTGAAAAACCATTCCTTGTACTAAACTCTCCTTTCCACGCTGATTTTCCGTTGAAACCGCAGAAAGTTCTCACCCAACATCATCCTTTATACATTTAATCGATGCCATCTCGGATTCGAACGCTGCCAGGGTGATGGTTTCGAATAAGGAGAAGCTGTGTTGCTGCGCTTGGAGATGGGCAAAGACTCTCTTTTTCGTCGCCAACATGCTCGCTTCCCTGTTCTTCGTGTGCGCACCTCCGCTTCTCGTCGTCTTTCTCGATCTCCTCATCCCTTTCGTTCTCCTCGCCGCCATCGCCGGCGCCCCAGGGGCAGCCGCGATGTCTATTCAGCTCAGAAGCTACCGATTTGGGACTTCCTTGGTTGACTTGCCGCTGCTCTCTGCTGCAAGATCGCTCCTTTTACTGTGTATGTATCGAAGTTTTTATAGTGCTCACTAAATGACTGATGATATGTCGCTGAAAGGACTTGGGGGTTGTTTTTGTGGGTGCAGGCTTTTATTTGTGTTGGAGTGGGAAGGGGCCGTATTTAGGCTTAGCGACAGTGTGCGCTGCGGTGTCTGTGGGTTATGTGTCTCTTAAAGCAATCGCCATTTTTGGAGCTGAAGCAGCGCTTGGGAAACGTCGTCTCTTATCATTTGGGGACAAGGAGGGACCGGTGGTGGAAGCTCTTTTTCTGAGCTCTTTTGCTCTGGCCATGGCCCATGTCGTGGCGGCTTATAGGACCAGCTGCAGGGAGAGAAGAAAGCTGATTGTATACAAAATTGACATTGAAGCGGTATGAATCAATTGAACTAAATTTATGTTTTTCCCATTTCATAACTGTTTTCTATATGGTGATCCTTCATTTTGTATGTTTTGTGGTTCTTACTGGATAATCAAAACATAGGAGCTTGTTTTGTTTCAATTTACTAAAAGAGAATTTTTTCGCTTGAATTAGAAATCCATCTTGAGGAAAGTCGAACACCTTTTTGAAATTACAATGCAATTGATTTTGATATTTTAAGTGTTTCATTTAGTCAAGGAAAGTGAGGAATTTCTGAATAATTTAAGTGGTGAATGCACCTTTATATTTTTTTTGGTAGGATAAAGCAGCGCATTAATGAGTACAGGCAAAAGGGGATTGCAAAAGTGGCTATCAATTTCGATGGCTTTAGTGGTTTAGGTTATTTTTCGATTGAAACCTGTTGGAAAGTTCTTACTTCTAACTTCTGATGAAAAGTCTTGGTTTGCTTCTTCAACATAAAAATTGTGATTTAATTTTAGGTGGAACTCAGAATTTTCGTCTTAAATTATTCGAGGAAACTAGCCAAACTATTGAACTTTAGCACTAAAGTTTATTAAATTTTTTTGTATTTTAACTTGAATTCAAGTTAAATAAACCTTTTTATTTCATACTCTTAACCCATTTTGAAATACTTAATGATCAAAAAATAATTTTGAGTACATAAAGAACTGAATCCCAAAACTCAGAACACAAAAAATTAAACGTAAACTGAGTCGCAAAACATTGAGTGCATCGGAACATGGTACACTGACAATCGAAAGGTTTTTCAATTCAAAACTTTAAGTTTATTGATGAGCGTCAACCAGTTAATATTTATGCATTAACATATTTTCCTTCTATTTATCTGGGATTAAACACAATTCTCAAATTTGTTTTAATAGTCCAATAACCAAATAAATGTCCACTCATTATGTTGACCGCTATTTTCTTAGTATGGACATGGGGTTTTGATGGAGATTGGAAGAAGGGTGACCTTCTCCTTCACGTTAGAATAACAAAAAATTTTCCCATGGACTAAACTTTTCACATATTTTACTTTTACCGTGTTTTCACATTCATCTAGTTACTTAGTTTCAAAATTTATGGCAACGTGTTATGGTGGCCTTTTCTTGGAGTAAATAATAGATAAATGTCATTTTCAAAAAGGGAGTTATTTTCTTGCAATCTCTGACCAAGAATTTTATGATGCAGGTGTCTGTTTACAATAATGACTTCTCCAACTACCATAAAATTGCATTGTCTTAGCAAAACATGATGGGTTTATGGAGAAGCAGCAGTCAAATACTGCTGTCATCCTCATCTGGAATTTCAGGTAGATTTGCAAAATTAAATAGTCCACTTACAATCATTATTTTGCTAATAGTCATACCAAAAATTTTATAAGACTATTATCAATAGGAGATTATGGAGCGCTGTGCATAAGATGGGGTCTTTAGTTTCTCTATTGCCCTATATTGATCTCTATTAGTTAGATAGTCGATTGAGAATTTTAGGGCAAAGAAAAGCAAGAATCAACGTAAATCCAGAAGAAAACAGAGAGATTTAACGAGCTTCGACAAAGATGTCTATGTTCTCGGGAGCAGAGCGGTGGCTTTCCTTCAATTTCAGAAAATAGTACAAGATGTCCCTAGGATTACAAACAAGACATATATATACTTAACCCTGACATACAATATGTTATTACAAAACTGCCCATGTACCATACCCCCACACCCCAACCCACATAACAAATAACTCCTCCAATTGGACAGATGCTTCCGCTCCGTTGGCTCACTCCATTCCGCTCTAGCATCTGTCTCTTATTTGGTATATGAGTCATATCTAGCAAAGTCAATGCCAAACCAGACAGATTATATTGCACAATATGAATTCCTGTCGAAGGAATATTGATGCTCACCTAATGAATTCATGGCATATGAATGCTGGTGCTCACGTAATAATCTCTCCCCATCAACATAACTTTCTAATTTGAAAACTAATAGTGCTTTATACCACCTGCTAAACCATGTAAGAATATGATTATGCAAAAGTGGTCGGCTTTTCTTTGTAAAAACTGCGGAAATATAGACAGTTAAAACTTGTAAGTTTTACTATCTTCCTTTATAATATTTATGAGTATTGTTTTGTTACTCTGTTGCAGTTTAAAAACCACACTTATGGTGGGAAGTGCAAGAGAACCGTTGTGATTCTCGTCATCAATGTTGCAACGCGAAGGATCCAATACCGTTTTCTATTAAATTGTTTAGTATAATTATAATGGCCTTTTATTGCCATTGTCTTTTCCTTTTCACTTTTAGCAGCAATTTTTTTTGCTGAATGTATATGTAAATAGGTGAAGTGATGAAATAGGTAAGTGATGCATGAATCGTGTAATTTAAACAGTATGTGTATTCTTTTACCTTGAATCCACTTACATAGAGTTGTACAAAAATCGTTATACAAGTATAAACCATTTTGATATCATTTCAATTTCAAATCAATTTTTTCTAACGGATTTATAAATCTCAAATTGAACTCGAACCATTATAAGAGAAATGAAACAGTATATTTTTTTGTTTGATTTAAGGTTGTTTTTATTTTAATATTGTAATTAGCATAAGGTTTTATTCTCTTTTTCAATTTTGTTGGCTCATAGTGTTAGACAAACTAAGCAGCTTACAGAAATCGCAGAGAGGAAGATTCTCCATCTACACTTATTGATAACCTCTAGCCAAGGCGTACTTTCTTGAGTCTCTGTACACGTATAAATATAAGTGCTGAGATGTAAAGATGTGTACGTGATACAGATCCACATGGTTTCAGAGCAGGATTTCACATGGTATCAGAGCAAGATTGATGCCATACTTGAATTTTTGTTTTCTCTTACTTAAATCCAAGACAAGTTCCTGAATCTTAACCTTTATTCGTCTTTCTTCCACTGTCTTCTTTTTTCTTCTACTTTCTTCATTCTTCTTCAAGGAAATCCTCATACTTTGAAAAATTCATGGCCGCTTCTTCGCAAGCCAGCAACTGGCAATCCAATAATCTGTCTAGCAATGTCTTGATAATCTCTCCCTCCTCTCAATTATAATAGAACAAATCATAAGTTTAAAGGGGCGGGCCGTAACGCATTCCAGCCAACAAACAAGACACATTAGTTTGCTAAACAACAACAAACAAATAACAACTCAACCAAGCAGACAACTCAACCAAGCAGAAAATTAGAAAATTCAATGTCAAATCTGGTGAAAGGACACTCAGCATTTGACTATTGGCACAGAAAAAAAGTGAATTATGTACCATCAAACAAGCAACAAAAAGATCTAATGGCAGCAAAGACCAATCTTCCAAATGAATTGATACTGGATACATTAGCTACATTACACTTTACTGAGATTTTTTCAAATCTCCAGCACCTAGAGGCATGCGAGGGAAATGAACAGATCACTGTTGGTTATTGTATGTTCATACCAATATCACATGCCAATATCACATGCATGCAAAGGCATTCTACCAACCCCGGATAGCAAGTTGTACCATCTTGCATTTTATATACAGCAAGTTCATTCAAAAACTTGCAAAAGATAACAATTGCATAATATATTTTGACTCTCATGGCTACAAAATTCAGGACAAGACAACTAAAAAAATCGTTCTTAAAGGAAAAAACTGCAAGGTTTGTATTCAATCCAATATGTTCCAGCTTTGCAGACAACTACTCACACTTCACCATGGCATCAAAGATTGAGGCATCCTTATAAACAAGTATTACACATAATCACCAAAAGTCATAGAGATTTACATATTCTACCAAATTTCTTTCCACGTATAGCATGTATATCATAAAAAAGTCACATATTAAGCTTTCCTAAATCTATAACCAAAACTAAATTTCCTCACTAATTAGTACATGCTGAAGTTTGGGGACCATCCCCAATTCTCTCTACTAATGATTACAAATATTACATTATTTTCTTATATGATTTTACTCATTATACTTGGTCATATCCAATGATATACAAAAACGAGGAACCACATATATTCCCTCATATTCACAGAATTTAACACAAGTATAAGACAATTGAGATCTGATGGTGGAGGAGAGCGTACCTCATTAGTTTTTCAAAACCAACTACTTAAACTTGACATACAACAACAATTCAACTGTCCACTAAAAGTAATGCACATACGTATTCATGGAACAAATCCACCTTGTCACTTTTGTTTAGATGTTGTCTTAATACTTTTATACCTCATGAACAGAATCATCCAGAAACCTGCACATGTTATCACGAATTCAACTTCTCTTTGAACAAAAGCCTAATTATCAACAATTGAGGGTATTTGGTACAATTTTTTTCCCTCTCCAACAAACACTCACAATCGCCAAACTACATCCTAAAGAACCTCAATGTATATTCCTTGGATATTCCAATTTTCATAAACGGTATAAATGTTACAACCCTATCACAAATAAAATCATCATTTCAAGGCATGTAGTATTCAATGAAAATTTATTTCCTTCCAAAGATCTCAACACAACCACCATGCCCATTTCCAACAATAGTTACGCACCTCCTTCAAACCTCACTCTAATCTCACATAACACCTTTCATAACAACTCTCATCACTCACCAACCCTCTTACCACCTCCATATCAACCTTTAAACCCGTCATCAACTCAAATACCAAATCCAATCCTATCATAACAACAACCCACCACATTCCCCTTAACACACAATTCACCTCCACTCATTGTACAACCTACTATACCTTCAAAAATGTAACAACAAAGCATGCCATGAAAACTCATCTGGAAACTGGAAACTGGAAACTGGAAACCAAAGAACATGATGAATCTAATTCATCAACATACATCACAGAATGAACCCACCACATTCACTCAAGAAGCTAAAACTCCATAACGGAGAACTACAATGTCTAAGGTATTCTTAGCCTTACAAAAACAATGAACATGGGAATTGGTTCTCCCACCCAAAAATCAAGATATATTCGGATGCAGATGGACTTCTATAACAAAATTATGTATAGATGGAAGTATATCTCACTACAAAGCTAAACTAGTAGCACGAGCTTATAATAAAAAACATTGCATAGATTATGAAGAAATATTCATCCCAGTAGCTAAATTTATCTTTACACAGTCGGTGGCTGGTGCTACAATTTGATTTTTCAAATGCATTTTTACATGGAAATTTAGAAGATATGATCTATATGAAGCAACTTTTGGGTTTTACTAACATATAATTTCGCAATCTGGTATGTCTTTTACACAAATGGTTTAAATCAAGCCCCTAGAGAGTGGTTTTCCACATTCTTTAAATGCCTCAGATAAAAAAAAATGAATCATGGTGCTACAAATCCATCTTTGTTCATACATTCATAAGGGTACTAACATATATATTTCTAATTTATGTAGATGGTGTACTAATAACTTGAAATCAAAAGGAATTTATCTCCAACCTCCTTCAAAATTTTCATAGCAAATTTCCAATGAAAGAACTAGGATCAATCTCATTGTTTCTTGGTATTCAAGTTCAGCAAACAAGTGCAGGACTGTTCTTAAATCAAACTAAATACTTACAAAACATACTTCAAGAAGTTAGGATGACTGATTGCCAGCCAATTCAAACACCAATATAGAGAAAAATCATAGCTAAGATTATCAAAAATATAACTCCACCACTATCTAGCAAGATCTCTAGAATATATGACTATAACAAGACCAAATTTAGTATTTTTGATAAATCAGGTTTGTCAACACATGCATAATCTCACACAAAATCATTTTCAAATTCTTAAAAGAATACTCAGATATTTAAAGGGAGTGTTAATACATACTCTGCCCATCACAAAAGGTGAACTACAACTTCACACCTACTCAAACACAAATTGGGCAGGAGACAAAACAAACAAAAGATCTAAAGTGGGGCTTTTCACTATGGAAGCCGATTACAGAGCCCTTGTAGCTGTTGTGATCGATACCATTTTGCTAAGAGACTAGCACAAGAATTAGGAACACCCACACAAAAACCAACACCAATCTATTATGACAATCTACCGGCTCTAGCAATAATGAGAAAACCTATATTCCACGCTAGAATGAAGCACATCAAAATAGATTTTCATTTATCAGAGATTACATTGCAAACGAAGCCATCACTGTGAATCATATAGCACCGAAAGATTAAATCACATATATCATGACTAAATTCCCACCAAAAATAACATTTCTTACAACTAAAATACGAAGTAACAATCCAACTTAGGGATTCTTAATTTGAGGGGCGTTTTTAGTCAAAAGATACAAGAAAGCACTGAAGGCAAGTGAACGACAGCAGCTAAGCAGCTCACGAAGATTGCATAGAGAAAGATTCTCCATCTTCGTTTCTTGATAACTTCTTTTACATTTCATCCAACCGTAGCCAAGATGTGCTTTCTTGAGTTTCTATACACGTATAAATTTAAGTGTTGAGATGTAAAGTTGTGTATTTGAAATAGAGTGATTAATGTTCATCAAGGATTTCCAAATTTAGAGAAATATTTTATTGATAATATCTATTGAGGTTTGATTTTTTATTCGTTCAATTGTTGATAATATTACCTTGCAATTTGTACATGATTCATAGATTCTTCTCTTGACATTATAGATTCTCTATTTAAGTGTCATTGTTCTCTTATCACGAGCTCAAATTCTTTTAAATGTCATGTTGCCTTTAATTTATTATTATAATGTAGAAAATTCATAATTTGTTTTTTTTTCTTTCTTGTAAGTATATATTATTTGGATTTAACTTTGTAGGAATTATCCCTTGTTTCACTTGTATTTGCATAGGTCTGTTTGGTTTATAAATATTTATTAAATTCATTTGTTTTTTGTTTATCAGTTTGATGTTATTTCTTTGTTTTTAGTATTTTGTTTTTGGGCATTTAGATAGACTACGCAAGTCCAATGTCCTTACATATCAACACTTTAGATTTGGGTATTTAGATAAACTACCTAAATCATTCATATCACATAGAAAATGCCACTATTTTAATTTTTCGAAAGTGAAATATATATGTTTATGCATATATAAGGCGACATGTATTCAAAAATTAAGGCTTTAATGTTATATATGTAAATATATAGGAATTAAGTGGTATGTATGCAAATCTTCCTCTTTTGTTTTTTAATCCAATGGCCTCAATTAAAGTTTGTGAGCCTTTAAGATGGTAGAAACTATCATGAATATAAATAGCTTTGGAAATTGACAACTACTAGATACTATGCAACAACAAACATACTTCATACCAGTGTACACGTTAATCAAGTAATGTATTGATTATTGGTAAGAATTGATCCCACAAGGAACTAGGTAATTTCTCAAGTTAAGCCAATTATTAGTCTGTGTTTACTTGTTTTATCCAATGATATCAATTTCAAAAATGAGTTTGAATATTTTGA